CCAGCTCCAGCACCCCTCGAACGAGAACCCCCAGACCGAGTACCGCGAGTGGCTGCACCTCCAGCTCCAACACCAACCGAGTCCACAGTAACCTGTCGCGGAAGTGCCGAAGGCTGCTGAGGGGACTGTGAGGAGGACTGCGGGGAGGGAGACGATACCTGACGCGCGACCGAGGGTAGAGGGGTAGCGTGAGACACACCTGACGGGGCAGGACCGAGGGGGGTGGGGGTACCAGAGGAGCGGGAGCAGGGGGAAGAGAGGGTGCGATGAAAAGGGGGTAGGGGGAACTGGGAGACCTCTACAAGGGTACCGGGTGTAGTAGGACACTAACTCGTCAAACCGGACGTCACGGGAGTCTAGGAACTGGTGGAGGGGCGGGTGGTAAAAGGACCAGTCGGTCGAGGCTATTGGGAAACCAAGGAAGACACAGGGGATGGCGCAAGCCAAGAGCTTGTCCGCAGAGGTGTCGCGGACAAGCGCAAGGCAGCCCCAGACACGAAAGGCTGACCCAACACCAGGGGACCCGGTCCAAAGACTGGTCGGTGAAGCCTCTGGCCGCGAGACATGCGGCTGGAGGTTCAGCTGGTGAGCGGCGTAGCGAACCGCGTAGGGCCACAGAAAATGGGGCGCACGGGCATGAATCATGGACGTGCGGGCGATGTCCATGACCAAGCCAATGCGGCGCTCAGCAACCCCATTATGCTATGGGGACTCCGGCAACATCTAGGACTGTATGATGCCCTGCTCGCCGCAAAATCCGGCAAGAATGCCTGAGCAAAACTCACCCCCACGGTCAGAGTGGAGACAGGAGACACGACGGCCACGAGTGCCCTCAGTGGCTAGAAGCCACCGGATCAGCGTAGAAGTCACCTCGGACTTCTTCGCGAGAGGAAACACCGTGGTGTACCTGGAGAAGTTGTCGACGACCACCAGAAATTAGCGCTCCCTCTCGGGTCCCTGTGTAGGTGCAGGGCCCCAGACATCCAAGTGGAGTGTCTGGAAGGGAGCAGTGGCCGGATGAAGAGAGGAGGAGTGCAGAGCGGCATGAAGACGCCGGCGATGCAAGGAGTGCACGGGGGTGCAGGCGAGGGAGGGAGCGACGGGAAGACGCGAGAGAGACCTGAGATAAGACGGTGACTAGCCATAGTGCGGAGGCGAGGGATCGACGGGTGGCCAAGACGGTGGTGCCACAGGACGGTCTGGTGGGTGAAAGACCGACACGAGCAAGACGCAGCAACCTGACCAGACGCGACAGTCGGAGGGGACGCAGCTACCTGACTGGACTCGACAACCGGAGAAGGCGCAGGAACCTGGGGGGACGCAGCGACCTGAGGTGACGTGGACACCGGGGAGTGCTCGGTGTGGAGGACGTAGAGACCGGAGCGCGGCTCCCTGGTGAACGTGGCCAAAACTCTGCCAGTGACAGCGTCCGTACAGACCGCAGTCCGCCCACCCCCCACAAAGGTAACGGTGATCCCCCTGTCCTGGAGGTATCCAACACCCACCAAGTTCCGAGTGAACGAGGGGATGTGGAGGCCGCGCAGGACACCAGAGGGGACCACAGGGCACGGGAGGGTGGTAGAGCTGCGTGCCACGGCTAGTCCTGAGGAAGGATCAGCCAGGGCTACCGGTACTGGAGCAAGGAGCGGTGTGAGTGTCGTGTGGTCGCAGAAGAAGCACTGCGACGCGCCAGAGTCCAGCGTGAAGGACAGGGACGCCACACCCTGTGGTGAACCCAGTGTGGAAGCTACACAAGCACCTAGAGCAAAAACACAAGCACCTAGATTGGAGAGGCACAAGTCTACGCTAACAGGAGGCAAGCAAGCTAATCTACCAACACGCGAGCACACAAATCCATCAGCACTATAGTCAACATCAGCATACAAAGCATACTAACGAGCATCATCCATAGACAGATCAAAGACAGGAATCTTACGGGCCAGCAGGCAAGTCCAGCGTGGAGTGGTCGCCTCAGGGCCCCAACGGGCATTGTAGAGGTCGTCGAGGCGGCGGAAGCACCGCGCGGCAGAGTGGTCGTCGCGGCCGCAGACACAGGGGCTGCCTGGTCCGGTGAGGCACCAGTGGTCACAGGGGCCGGTGTCACGGCGAGGGGTTTGAGGGGCCCAGCTGGAACTGCTGCTGCTGCGGCCGGAGCTCCCTGGTCCTCCCGGACCCCACTGCGGCGGGGGGCCCCAATGCTGCTGCGGACCCCACTACAGTGGGGGCCCCCAAGGCTGGAACTGCTGCGGTGCCTGCTGCTGCTGCTGTCCCTGATGGTGCTGCTGTCTCTGCTGTGGCTGGTGTTGCTGTGGCTGCTGCTGCTGAGGTCCGACACCCCCGCTGGTCTGAGCACCGCCAGTAGGCGGACCTGTCTGTCCTGCACCTCTTCCAAGGCTCCCTCCTCCTGGGGCACCACCGCCGCCTCCGCCACCACCACCGCTCCCAGCTCCACCGCCACCACCACTGCCTCCTCCACCTCCCTTCCCGCCCTTCTTGCCACTCTCACCCCGTCTCTGCCAGTCAGCGGCAGAGACGGCAGCAGTGTCCTCAACAACCGACACAGTAGCAAAAGCGCGGGTAGTAGTGAAAGTGGGAAGCTGGGGGGCGGCACACCCCGCAAAAAGACGGGGGGGGCACTGCGTCAGTGGCGGAGGCAACGGAGAGGAGGTTACTCTCGATCTTCCCGAGAGCGGTCTCAAGGAGATCGATAGTAAGCTCGGTGGGGTGCTTCTGGAGAAGCACGTCGCGAGCAGTAGCGAGGCGGTCAAGGAGGCGTGTGACTAACCAGTGCACAGTGAGCCACATGGGGGGGGGGGAGCAACAAGAAGTTGGGCATCGGTGCAGGCCGCACGGAAACCGGCGTCAAGTGAACGTGTTATAGTCACAATAGGCTTGAATGTGCCTAAAACGAAAGATAGAGTGCACAGTCGGATTTCTGCACAGCGGCTTCAAACGTTGATAGCGTTCTGCTCACAGCTGCAAATGACCTGATTCAACTTGGATCTGGAGCGCCTTAACGTCGCCTACAGTAGGCAATTTAGATTGCACGATTTCATAAAGAATTGACGACACTGTGTTGGTTTGAACGAACGGCACTATGGCAGTCACTATAGTCTTAGAACACAAGATAGGAAGAGTTACGAGTTGGGAATGACTCCCAGCTCCTACAAACCCCAAGAGCCGAGGTACAGTGATGTAGAAAAGTGCCACACTGTCCCCAACCACGAAGGGTCTCGAAACTACCCTCCACAAGGGCCTACACCAAGAGAAATGTTACACTACACAAAGTACTGCAACAATTCTCACTATCTTAAAGTTTACCCTTTTGGAGAGCTTCGAAATCACTTGATTCTTGAAACCAAGGCTCTGGGTCTTCAAGATAAATTCTTCCTTGAGTTCTTGGAAGTCTGCTGCGCACACCTGCGACACGCCGAACGTTCCACACACGACAAAATAGAAAACCACACACGACACGCAAACAACGACGTCACACGCGACTAGCGATAACTCGCTATTGACTCGACACACACATTCAAAATCATGCCTCATCATTCACACACTATTGTAAGCATGAAATATATATATTATTTCATGCCCTCATACCATTCCATGCACACACGCATGCACGCACACGGACAACAAGCCGAATGCAAACCGTAGGGTTGCACCAACAAACTCCCCCTCGGATTGTTGGCCTTAGGATCTTGCTCTCTCAGTTCAGAGCCATCCCAGCCAGCTTGCAACACTTCCAATGCTGCTGCTCCACCAGCCTCTTGGTCATCATGTCAGTTGGCTGCCTTGTCAAACATATATGCCTAGTTATATCTAGGCTTAGTTTATGTGTTTATAATTGTCTAGGCTATAGTGGGTTTAGCCTTAGGGGGTACAAAGTTTCTCTCGACATTCTACTTGTACCCCTTCCCTTTTCCTAGTCAACCATTCTCGCCTAAGATTCTAACATGGTATCAGAGCAACTAAGTCTTAGGACCTAATCTCAATGGGCCCACCACCTACTGCCCTGCTAGCCTAGGCCCCGGCCCGTCGCCCCTTAGCGTCGCCCCTAGCTCCTAGGCTCGGCCCCTTGGCCCCGTCGCCTCGGCCCCGCTGGCCCCGTCGACTTCGTCGCCCGCGCCCGGCCCGTACCTAGCCCGTCGCCTGGCCCGTACCTAGCCCGTCGCACGGCCCGTACCTAGCCCGACGCCCGGCCCGTACCTAGCCCGTCGCCCGGCCCGTACCTAGCCCGCGCTCGGCCCCGTCTCCTGCCCGCGCCCGGCCCGTACCTAGCCCGTCGCCCGGCCCGTACCTAGCCCGTCGCCCGGCCCGTACCTAGCCCGTCGCCCGGCCCGTACCTAGCCCGTCGCCCGGCCCCGTCTCCTGCCCGCGCCCGGCCCGTACCTAGCCCGACGCCCGGCCCGTACCTAGCCCGTCGCCCGGCCCGTACCTAGCCTCGCGCCCGGCCCGTACCTAGCCCGCGCCCGGCCCGTACCTCGCCCGCGCCTGGCCCCGTACCTAGCCCGCGCCCGGCCCGTACCAAGCCCGCGCCTGGCCCCGTCCTTCGCCCAGCGCCCGGCCCCGTCTCTTGCCCGCGCCCGGCCCCGTACCTAGCCCCGCGCCCGGCCCCATTCCGCGCCCAGCGCCCGGCCCCGTACCTGCCCAGCGCCCGGCCCCGTACCTGCCCAGCGCCCGGCCCCGTACCTGCCCAGCGCCAGGCCCCGTACCTGCCCAGCGCCCGGCCCCATACCTGCCCAGCGACCGGCCCAGTACCTGCCCAGCGCCTGGCCCCGTACCTGCCCAGCGCCCGGCCCAGTCCCTGCCCAGCGCCTGGCCCCATTCCAGCCCAGCGCCCGGCCACGTACCTGCCCAGCGCCCGGCCCAGTCCCTGCTCAGCGCCTGGCCCCGTACCTGCCCAGCGGCCGGCCCCGTACCTGCCCAGCGCCCGGCCCCGTTCCTGCCCAGCGCCCGGCCCCGTACCTGCCCAGCGCCCGGCCCCGTCCCTAGCCATGGCCCCGTCGCCCCTAGCCATGGCCCCTCGCGACCTGCCGCCCCTAACCGCGGCCCCGGTGCCCTGTTACAACATGGTGGGTGAGGGGGTGGCAAGAGGGGGTTCCTCCTGCCCGCGTGCCCTACAGTCGCATGCGCAGCTCCGCCCCCGCCCCCCTCCCCCCCCTCCATGGGGATGGCGGGGAGAGGGTGTGAGGGGGTGGCGGATGTGCCTCAGCAGCAGCAGCTGCCGCCACGCCTCCTCCTCTCTCTCTCCCTGCCGCACCTTGTGTTGGGAGAGGGGGGGGAGCTTGGAGGTTCAGGGGGAGGCAGGAGGGGATCTCCAGCACCAGCCCCCCCCCCTCCCCCCCCCCCCCCACCCTTCTCCTACCTCCCTGTTGTGGGAGCAGCAGAGGGGGGGAGGGGACCTGCAGCACCTGCCCCCCCCCCCCCCCCCCCCCCCCTCCATGGGGATGGCGGGGAGAGCGGGGGGAAGCTTGGAGGTTCAGGGGGAGGCAGGAGGGGATCTGCAGCACCAGGTCCCCCACCCTTCTCCTACCTCCCCCTGCTGCGGGTACAGCAGTGGGGGGGAGGGGATTTGCCATCCCCCTGCTGCGGATGCGGCAGTGGGGGGAGGGGACCTGCAGCACCAGCCCCCCCCCCCCCCCCCTCCCCCCCCTCCTCTCCGCCCTTTTCTCCTCTCCCTCCCCCTGCTGCGGGTGCCGCAGTGGGGGGAAAGGGATCTGCCATCCCCCTGCTGCGGATGCAGCAGTGGGGGGAGGGGACCTGCAGCACCAGCCCCCCCCCCCCCCCCCCCTCTTCTCCTCCGCCCTTGCTGCGGGTGCAGCAGTGGGGGGAGGGGATCTGCATCAGCAGTGGGGGGAGGGGATTTGCAGCAGCAGTGGGGGGAGGGGAGTTGCAGCATCAGCCCCCCCCCCCCCCCCCTTTTCTCCTCCACCCCTGCTGCGGGTGCAGCGGTGGGGGGAGGGGATCTGCAGCAGCAGTGGGGGGAGGGGAGTTGCAGCATCAGCCCCCCCCCCCCCCCTTTTTTCTCCTCCACCCCTGCTGCGGGTGCAGCGGTGGGGGGAGGGGATCTGCAGCCCTGTGCTGCCGCTACAGCCCTTGCTGCTGCCCTGCGCGCCCCGCGCGCCCTGCAGCCCTGCTGCGCCCTGCGCGCCCTGCTGCCCTGCTGCCCTGTGCACGCCCTGCTGCCCTCTGCACGCGCCATGCATAGCCCCCCCCCCCCCCCCCCTCCCTTCTTCTTCCTTCCCCTGCTGCAGGTGCAGCAGTGGGGTGGGGGTATGGGGGTGGCGGGTGTGGGTGCAACTGCGGGGTGGCGGGTATGGGGGTGGCGGGTGTGTGAACCATCCCCTCCTCCTCCTCCACCTTCGTCTTCCACTGCTGCAGCTGCCGCTGAGGGGGGTGGGTGTGTGGGAGCCGAGGGAGTGGTGCTAGGTGTCAGTAGATCTGCACTGTGGATGCCCGATTGATCCTAGGGGGGTTACAGGCGCGTTCGCCTGGGGGGTTATGGGCGCACTCTGACCCGCTACTTAACAAGCCCTTTTATCCCAATGGTCTAGTGGTTGGGATTCTGACATGGAATCAGAGCGAAGGTCTCGGGTTCGAATCCCAGTGTGTGCACTTCGGGCATCCCAGTGCGGGGGGGTGTCAGAGGTCCACTGGTGATCCCCGATTGGTCCACTGCAGGTCCCCTCCCCCCCTCTGCTGCTTCCGCAACAGGGAGGTAGGAGAAGGGTGGGGGGGGGGGGAGGGGGGGGGGGCTGGTGCTGGAGATCCCCTCCTGCCTCCCCCTGAACCTCCAAGCTCCCCCCCCTCTCCCAACACAAGGTGCGGCAGGGAGAGAGAGAGGAGGAGGCGTGGCGGCAGCTGCTGCTGCTGAGGCACATCCGCCACCCCCTCACACCCTCTCCCCGCCATCCCCATGGAGGGGGGGGAGGGGGGCGGGGGCGGAGCTGCGCGTGCGACTGTAGGGCACGCGGGCAGGAGGAACCCCCTCTTGCCACCCCCTCACCCACCATGTTGTAACAGGGCACCGGGGCCGCGGTTAGGGGCGGCAGGTCGCGAGGGGCCATGGCTAGGGGCGACGGGGCCATGGCTAGGGACGGGGCCGGGCGCTGGGCAGGTACGGGGCCGGGCGCTGGGCAGGAACGGGGCCGGGCGCTGGGCAGGTACGGGGCCGGCCGCTGGGCAGGTACGGGGCCAGGCGCTGGGCAGGTACTGGGCCGGGCGCTGGGCAGGTACGTGGCCGGGCGCTGGGCTGGAATGGGGCCAGGCGCTGGGCAGGGACTGGGCCGGGCGCTGGGCAGGTACGGGGCCAGGCGCTGGGCAGGTACTGGGCCGGTCGCTGGGCAGGTATGGGGCCGGGCGCTGGGCAGGTACGGGGCCTGGCGCTGGGCAGGTACGGGGCCGGGCGCTGGGCAGGTACGGGGCCGGGCGCTGGGCAGGTACGGGGCCGGGCGCTGGGCGCGGAATGGGGGGGCTAGGTACGGGGCCGGGCGCGGGCAAGAGACGGGGCCGGGCGCTGGGCGAAGGACGGGGCCAGGCGCGGGCTTGGTACGGGCCGGGCGCGGGCTAGGTACGGGGCCAGGCGCGGGCGAGGTACGGGCCGGGCGCGGGGCTAGGAACGGGGCCGAGCGCGGGCTAGGTACGGGCCGGGCGCGAGGCTAGGTACGGGCCGGGCGACGGGCTAGGTACGGGCCGGGCGTCGGGCTAGGTACGGGCCGGGCGCGGGCAGGAGACGGGGCCGGGCGACGGGCTAGGTACGGGCCGGGCGACGGGCTAGGTACGGGCCGGGCGACGGGCTAGGTACGGGCCGGGCGACGGGCTAGGTACGGGCCGGGCGCGGGCAGGAGACGGGGCCGAGCGCGGGCTAGGTACGGGCCGGGCGACGGGCTAGGTACGGGCCGGGCGTCGGGCTAGGTACGGGCCGTGCGACGGGCTAGGTACGGGCCGGGCGACGGGCTAGGTACGGGCCGGGCGCGGGCGACGAAGTCGACGGGGCCAGCGGGGCCGAGGCGACGGGGCCAAGGGGCCGAGCCTAGGAGCTAGGGGCGACGCTAAGGGGCGACGGGCCGGGGCCTAGGCTAGCAGGGCAGTAGGTGGTGGGCCCATTGAGATTAGGTCCTAAGACTTAGTTGCTCTGATACCATGTTAGAATCTTAGGCGAGAATGGTTGACTAGGAAAAGGGAAGGGGTACAAGTAGAATGTCGAGAGAAACTTTGTACCCCCTAAGGCTAAACCCACTATAGCCTAGACAATTATAAACACATAAACTAAGCCTAGATATAACTAGGCATATATGTTTGACAAGGCAGCCAACTGACATGATGACCAAGAGGCTGGTGGAGCAGCAGCATTGGAAGTGTTGCAAGCTGGCTGGGATGGCTCTGAACTGAGAGAGCAAGATCCTAAGGCCAACAATCCGAGGGGGAGTTTGTTGGTGCAACCCTACGGTTTGCATTCGGCTTGTTGTCCGTGTGCGTGCATGCGTGTGTGCATGGAATGGTATGAGGGCATGAAATAATATATATATTTCATGCTTACAATAGTGTGTGAATGATGAGGCATGATTTTGAATGTGTGTGTCGAGTCAATAGCGAGTTATCGCTAGTCGCGTGTGACGTCGTTGTTTGCGTGTCGTGTGTGGTTTTCTATTTTGTCGTGTGTGGAACGTTCGGCGTGTCGCAGGTGTGCGCAGCAGACTTCCAAGAACTCAAGGAAGAATTTATCTTGAAGACCCAGAGCCTTGGTTTCAAGAATCAAGTGATTTCGAAGCTCTCCAAAAGGGTAAACTTTAAGATAGTGAGAATTGTTGCAGTACTTTGTGTAGTGTAACATTTCTCTTGGTGTAGGCCCTTGTGGAGGGTAGTTTCGAGACCCTTCGTGGTTGGGGACAGTGTGGCACTTTTCTACATCACTGTACCTCGGCTCTTGGGGTTTGTAGGAGCTGGGAGTCATTCCCAACTCGTAACTCTTCCTATCTTGTGTTCTAAGACTATAGTGACTGCCATAGTGCCGTTCGTTCAAACCAACACAGTGTCGTCAATTCTTTATGAAATCGTGCAATCTAAATTGCCTACTGTAGGCGACGTTAAGGCGCTCCAGATCCAAGTTGAATCAGGTCATTTGCAGCTGTGAGCAGAACGCTATCAACGTTTGAAGCCACTGTGCAGAAATCCGACTGTGCACTCTATCTTTCGTTTTAGGCACATTCAAGCCTATTGTGACTATAACACGTTCACTTGACGCCGGTTTCCGTGCGGCCTGCACCGATGCCCAACTTCTTGTTGCTCCCCCCCCCCCCATGTGGCTCACTGTGCACTGGTTAGTCACACGCCTCCTTGACCGCCTCGCTACTGCTCGCGACGTGCTTCTCCAGAAGCACCCCACCGAGCTTACTATCGATCTCCTTGAGACCGCTCTCGGGAAGATCGAGAGTAACCTCCTCTCCGTTGCCTCCGCCACTGACGCAGTGCCCCCCCCGTCTTTTTGCGGGGTGTGCCGCCCCCCAGCTTCCCACTTTCACTACTACCCGCGCTTTTGCTACTGTGTCGGTTGTTGAGGACACTGCTGCCGTCTCTGCCGCTGACTGGCAGAGACGGGGTGAGAGTGGCAAGAAGGGCGGGAAGGGAGGTGGAGGAGGCAGTGGTGGTGGCGGTGGAGCTGGGAGCGGTGGTGGTGGCGGAGGCAGCGGTGGTGCCCCAGGAGGAGGGAGCCTTGGAAGAGGTGCAGGACAGACAGGTCCGCCTACTGGCGGTGCTCAGACCAGCGGGGGTGTCGGACCTCAGCAGCAGCAGCCACAGCAACACCAGCCACAGCAGAGACAGCAGCACCATCAGGGACAGCAGCAGCAGCAGGCACCGCAGCAGTTCCAGCCTTGGGGGCCCCCACTGTAGTGGGGTCCGCAGCAGCATTGGGGCCCCCCGCCGCAGTGGGGTCCGGGAGGACCAGGGAGCTCCGGCCGCAGCAGCAGCAGTTCCAGCTGGGCCCCTCAAACCCCTCGCCGTGACACCGGCCCCTGTGACCACTGGTGCCTCACCGGACCAGGCAGCCCCTGTGTCTGCGGCCGCGACGACCACTCTGCCGCGCGGTGCTTCCGCCGCCTCGACGACCTCTACCATGCCCGTTGGGGCCCTGAGGCGACCACTCCACGCTGGACTTGCCTGCTGGCCCGTAAGATTCCTGTCTTTGATCTGTCTATGGATGATGCTCGTTAGTATGCTTTGTATGCTGATGTTGACTATAGTGCTGATGGATTTGTGTGCTCGCGTGTTGGTAGATTAGCTTGCTTGCCTCCTGTTAGCGTAGACTTGTGCCTCTCCAATCTAGGTGCTTGTGTTTTTGCTCTAGGTGCTTGTGTAGCTTCCACACTGGGTTCACCACAGGGTGTGGCGTCCCTGTCCTTCACGCTGGACTCTGGCGCGTCGCAGTGCTTCTTCTGCGACCACACGACACTCACACCGCTCCTTGCTCCAGTACCGGTAGCCCTGGCTGATCCTTCCTCAGGACTAGCCGTGGCACGCAGCTCTACCACCCTCCCGTGCCCTGTGGTCCCCTCTGGTGTCCTGCGCGGCCTCCACATCCCCTCGTTCACTCGGAACTTGGTGGGTGTTGGATACCTCCAGGACAGGGGGATCACCGTTACCTTTGTGGGGGGTGGGCGGACTGCGGTCTGTACGGACGCTGTCACTGGCAGAGTTTTGGCCACGTTCACCAGGGAGCCGCGCTCCGGTCTCTACGTCCTCCACACCGAGCACTCCCCGGTGTCCACGTCACCTCAGGTCGCTGCGCCCCCCCAGGTTCCTGCGCCTTCTCCGGTTGTCGAGTCCAGTCAGGTAGCTGCGTCCCCTCCGACTGTCGCGTCTGGTCAGGTTGCTGCGTCTTGCTCGTGTCGGTCTTTCACCCACCGGACCGTCCTGTGGCACCACCGTCTTGGCCACCCGTCGATCCCTCGCCTCCGCACTATGGCTAGTCACCGTCTTGTCTCAGGTCTCCCTCGCGTCTTCCCGTCGCTCCCTCCCTCGCCTGCACCCCCGTGCACTCCTTGCATCGCCGGCGTCTTCATGCCGCTCTGCACTCCTCCTCTCTTCGTCCGGCCACTGCTCCCTTCCAGACACTCCACTTGGATGTCTGGGGCCCTGCACCTACACAGGGACCCGAGAGGGAGCGCTAATTTCTGGTGGTCGTCGACAACTTCTCCAGGTACACCACGGTGTTTCCTCTCGCGAAGAAGTCCGAGGTGACTTCTACGCTGATCCGGTGGCTTCTAGCCACTGAGGGCACTCGTGGCCGTCGTGTCTCCTGTCTCCACTCTGACCGTGGGGGTGAGTTTTGCTCAGGCA